ACTGTTGATTCTTGCATCATTTGTTTGGCATCCGAAGTCACTTAATTTGTTCCCAAACAAGGAATTTTATATAGTATGTATTAAATTCAAGGAAATAAAGTATTTAGTCTCGAAATGAGAGTAAAAATAAATGTAGTTGTAGAAAGACAGGTACAATATGGTAACTTGCAAATCATTTTTTACCACATGTTAATGAAATGAAAACTCAGGCGTTCTTATCTTATAAGTGGGAACTACTACTTATATTATTAATGCACATGTATACGATACTTATTAATATTGCGAACGAGTTTCAATGTTTAAAGTAGGGAATAGAATTTTATCATCGAGTTTCTGCTTTATCAAATTTCTAATTCATAAGAATGTAATTTTAGCTCGTTCGTTATAGAAATATTCTTTTTTCTTAAAACTGCTTTGAGCTGTTAGTTGATTTTTTATTACAGTAATATCGTATATGTGTACATAGGTTCTTCGAATAATATCGTACTTGCGCATATTGATCAGTTGCCAACAGCATGCAATTGACAAGGAGTAATATTGTCGATAGAGTAAAGAAAAATATGGTGTTATAAAATCTTTTAAAATGGATGAGTTATCTAAATATAATTGTGTCATCATAAATAAACGATGAGCAAAATATGATTGCCTCGGTCATAGTTGTAGGTTAGATTCAATCTAAAGTTATGATGAAAGGGAAAGAAGTATATACACGTACGTATGTACAGTTTGTGTCGTAAAAAGTGGGGGTGTCAGTGGTGGAGTTGCAATGCAGTGATTCGGGATTTTCGTTCAAAATTTCTGTTAGTTTCATTGAAAAAGAGGAAAAGGAAGAGTTTGGACGTCGAGGAAATCGGGAGAACGCTTAGGCAGTCATGCGGTCCTGAATTTTCTAAGATACAAGTGCTGACAATAAGATATGACATCGGCGGACGAACTAAATACGAGAGAATTTACTCCACCCGATGCATCAGTTTTTGCTACCGATCATACCATTTTTTTAACACGTTTTAATACGATACCTTGGCTCGTCACGAGAATTTCGACGGTCGGAATGTATCTCAAGTGACCACGTCTCGCCGAAGGTGCAACAACTGCGTGACGTTACGCAAAACGAGATACTCTGTCGAAATTACAACTCTTCCATTTGACTTTTCTGCTGGCATTATCGGATAAAATCATGTATAATGGACGGGCAACAGCTTCGTCCAGTAATGAAAAATGTTTTCAAGCAAAACGATCGAGTGGCACGATGTAAAGAAAGAAGGAGCACGGAATACTTGTCAAATTTTCATGTATTAACAATGTAGTGCTCTTTAAATAAACTGCCCTTAACAAGTTGCAGACTAAAATATGTGATAAGAATCGGAGAATGTTTCAAAAATTTTGTATACACGTATTCACGATGGGAAATTATATTTTTGAAAGTGGTACTTGGTTGCATAGTAATGGTTCGACATGCCGGTTTAAATGTACTTAAGAGATCTTTTGTCTTCATATTGCTGACAAATGTAAAAAGAGAGGATCAAGTGAAAGAGAAGGGAAGTGTTTCGTTTCGATAGAAGAGAGAATTGAAATTTGACTAAGAATAAGAGGCATCGATTACGAAGAGTATTTGTAACATTGTTTGGAGAAAGAAATCAAACTCTGACACTTAACCATGTTATTGATTAATTTTTCAATCAAACTACTTATACAGTATTATTAATATCAATGCACAATACTTTCTGTAATAATAAATTCGTACTTTGTATCTTTTGTTAACGAAAATGGCACAAATTATAAGGAAACTGAAATTAATATTATAGAAATGAGAAAGAAGCTTGTTGCAATTGATGATTCAATTGTTTTATACGTACATGACTATGAATAATGCATATATAAATTATAGAGATGTCAAAAGAGTGTATCTTATAACTAGAGAGAATGATATATGTGATACAATAATAAGATACATATACATATACAGACTTAAAGACTAATGTATATATAAAAATATGTACAAGCATCTGAAAACGTATTCCTAAGTGCAACAAAATAAAGCTTGAACTGAAGTTAATGCATAGACGTACTTAAATAAAAGAATACAGTAAGACTAGTCCTATTAATGACGATTAGATCGAATAATTGAAAATGCTAAGTTGAAGTTATTCATTACAGTATTATATGGATCTGAACACAACTGATAAATGAAAAATTAGTAGGATCATAAATAATGGAAAGAAATATATATAATAGCACTTCTTAGGGGTCATGCCCCCTGGGGCAACAAGCGGAGCAGAGGGCTTGGGCCCTTCCTGTTCTGAAATTCACAACAGCCAAGAACATGCTATTGCTAAACTCACACCTCCTCTTACATTTGCTCAGCAATGCTACAGACACCTTAAGGTCAGCGGTCACAATTTGCAAAGTGCTTATAGTTTGTTTCAATGTATCAAACAATCTTTTGATATCGTTTATATCTTAACATGATATTCTCTTTTTTAGTATACGATATTTATTGGGTATAGCAAATAGATATCATGGCTGCTTATGAACTGTGTATAAGTCGACTGGTACGAAGGAGATGTATTTATATGATTTATTATTTTTATTTTTCAGAGTTCCGGTATTGGAGAGGCAAGTGTGTACCATGCTTTGGTTGTAATATTTTTGGAATTTTTTGCATGGGGTTTATTAACCATGCCTGTTATCACTGTATTAAATATCACATTTCCAAATCATACGTTCCTGATGAATGGTTTGATAATGGGCATTAAAGGAATCTTGTCGTTTCTTTCTGCGCCACTGATTGGTGCCCTGTCTGATGTCTGGGGCCGAAAATTCTTTCTTCTCATCACGGTAGCCTTCACATCTGCCCCGATTCCTCTAATGAGCATTAACACATGGTGGTTCTTTGCTATGATCTCCATCAGCGGTGTCTTTGCTTGCACATTTTCAGTGGTGTTTGCATACGTTGCTGATGTGACAGAGGAACACCAAAGGTCGCCAGCATACGGTATGGTAAGTATCTCACGATTAATTTCATTAACACGTTTTCTGTACAACTTGTTCACGTTAACAGGTATCGGCAACGTTTGCTGCAAGTATGGTAATAAGTCCGGCATTGGGAGATCATATTATGAAAGTGTATGGAGAAAATCTTGTGGTTGCGCTGGCAACCTCTATCGCAGTGCTGGATGTGTTTTTTATATTAGTGGCTGTACCTGAAAGTTTACCTGAGAAAGCTCGTCCACCAGCACCTATATCTTGGGAGCAGGCAGATCCGTTTGCTTATCTTGGAAGGGTAATTTATTATATCACGCGGAAACAAGCTGCGCTTGAAGTCAATCCAAATTAGTGACTTTGCGTTTAAAATAGATGCGCATTGACTATTAAGAGTCCTATCCGATGTTCAAATATAATTCTAATTTTGTAGGTTGGCAAAGATCACACTATTTTAATGTTGTGCATCACTGTGTTCCTGAGCTATCTTCCTGAAGCGGGGCAATATAGTTGTATATTTGTCTATTTGACGAAGGTCATGGGATTCACTACTTTGATGGTAGCAATTTTTATTGCCGTCGTGGGAGTTCTAAGCGTCGGAGCACAGAGTCGACTGGGTCCTTTGATAAGGGCACTCGGCAGTAAACATACTATAATGTTAGGCCTCTTATTCGAGATGTTACAACTCATGTGGTTTGGCTTTGGATCACAGACGTGGTAATTGTTTATTCACTTTTCATCCATTTGTTTTTAACGTATGAATATTACTAATTACTTACTAATTTTATAATTGTTAAGGATGATGTGGGCAGCTGGAGTACTCGCTGCTGTGTCAAGTATCACATATCCTGCAATTTCTGCGTTCATATCTATGCACTCTGACGCTGATAAGCAGGGTTTGGTACAAGGCATGGTAACCGGTATGCGTGGATTATGTAACGGTCTTGGGCCAGCAATGTTCGGAGTAATCTTCTATCTGTTTCGTGTCGATCTCAACGACAACACTCCTCTTCCCGCAAGGCCATCATCCTTAGATGAAAATAACAAGACAGGAACTGCCACGCAACATCCTGATATTATACCACAAATAGTGACCCAGGTATGTTTTGTACTTCCGTTTATTGATCGATAACAATCGTCGGAGCTAAGTATTATAAAAACGATTATGCTTTCAGCTCGTACCCGGACCACCATTTGTGTTTGGTGCATTACTTGTGATATGTGCATTACTCGTAGCTGCATTTATACCTGACTCAAACACAATCCCAACAGGTCCAATACATCATTCATCCACCTCCCGGAGGCCCTCCGGTAAATACGCATATCAGAAATGTACGTTAAAGGTTGACAGTTATGTTAAAATTCAGATGTATTTTTAGTGGTGGTGGGTTATAAATCAACTTGACGACAACACACAAACATTTTGATAAAAAAAACCACACGACTATCTTCGAATAAGTGATCGTGCGATATTTAAAATACGATTTACTGCTATTTGCGTTAATCTATTAAAAAACGATAAAGGAATTTTACAACAATTCAATTACAGAAAATATAATCACTTATTCGACAATTACTCTGTTTAGTTTTAAATACAATTAAAATACATCTATATTTTATATAACAAATATATAATTCACTTAAACTTATATGTATACAGGATGAGTCCGCCTAAGGTAAGCCACTTGAATAGTTTCTAAATTTTTTGAGGTGGGAAGGCAGGTGTTTCAGGCAAAAGTTGTTCGGCTTCGAGGGACACACTACATGGTGAACACAACTCTTCTGCAGTGAAGTTGCTCAGGAGATTTGAAAGTCGACTTAGTCGAAAGTACTGACCTACGTACATCGGAAAGCTAATAGATTAGGAGATATTTAAATTCAAAGAAGTCTAAAATTAGATATGAAGCATCGTATTATCGCCGAATGTTGCGAGATATCAACCAACACATTAAATGACGTAGGCCAGTCGTTACTTGATCGATTTCGATAATGCTGTGATGCAAATGGTCGTTATGTTGAACCATTCCTATAAATAAATGCTAATATTTAAAATCTAAGCATCTCCACCTGCAGAAAAGTTGGATACACCGTGTAATGTGTCCCTCGAAACCAAACAATTTTTGTCTGAAATATTTCTTGCTATTTCAAAAAATGTAAAAGTTATTCAGGTGATTTGGCTTAGGCGGCTCACCTGTACGTATTACGTGTATAATAGAGAAACGCAACGTGTTCATCTGCTTAATTAAATATATACTATACATGGTTATTAATTTAAGGTTTATCCTTGGATGTACATTACGAGGGGGACAAATTGGGAACTGGAAAAGGGAAGATAGGACCGCTGTCACCTCTAGTCGACAATTGCAACTCTGCTGCTCTATAGTTATTGTGAAAATTGAGACAAGTTATTGGAAAGAAGAGTGAAGCGAACGCCTGTCCAGTGACGAAACTCTGTATTTAGAGAAAACGGTTACTATCAAGTGCACCTACTTCGCAAGGACTTTTAAAAGAGATGTCTATATTGTATTATATTATGTCTTTAAGTCAATATCTGAGGTTGATCTTAGAATTACTGATCGACTTAACGTTTAGGTTCAAAAAACTTTTTACGAGCAGTGCTTGTTTCAAATGACATTCAGATTGAACTGAACATTAAGTTCGATCTACGTAGGTGTTCCGTTATATAAAATGTTAGAACTTGATTTTTTTTTCACGGGAGAAACATGTGAAATTGTAATACAAATGGTACCAAATTATGAACCGGGTACTTTGAACTATTTATTAGTGACTCCTGGTTTGCTTGCCGACATGTAAAACGGTAAAACAGATGAAAGTTGTAACCAGTATTTTTACTAGACTTGTGACAAAGAAAATTATGTTACGTATTTTAGTGTAAAATCCTCTTTCGTCATGCACCACGCCCATCGCTTATAGGGTTATAGAGGAGACAACAATTATTTCAATTTTTAATCAAGATCACCAGTTAATTTGAGCACTTGTATCAGGTGAATCTTCAATTTAGGATATTTTCTATCATATTTGTGAATTGTTTTTTGCAAACAAGACTATACGTATTTCCGAATGTATTTTGTTTCACTTTTTTTATGCATTCCTTTGCTTCAAGCTTATCTTTCAGTTAGCGAGGAAAAACCGAGTGCAATAGACTTTGAAATGAACGGAAAGAATATTGTAAATGATCTTTACATAGCTGAAATAGAGAATAAGTTCACAGCAGCATTCGATACATAATAAGAGTTAGCTGACATTTATAAAAGTGCGTTAACTATTTTTTTTTCATAAAATATTTATTTTAATATAATTAAACATCAACAGAATGAATTCAAGGGCCTTAACCAGAAAGAAGAAATGAAATTTATATGAAATTGTGCGTGTACCTCACCGAACGAAAGGCAGTAGTAGTGGTTTCGGTCGTGAATCTTGCAGAAAATCATTAATTGAATACCTTACCGGCGAACTCTCAACCGTTAACTTGTGCATGTTATAAATTGGAATCATTGATGTTGAGAAAATACAATAGTGTAGTATATTCGTGCATTTTACTTGTATTTCATGAGAGGATTAGTGTCTGCAGAACTATATGTACAATTGAAATAGCCTAAATAATTCTGAATTTGAAACATGCCAACATTGTTCGGAAACGAATTACGATTTTACGTTAGAATGTTTGCATACAACTATAATTGTTTTAAAATAAGAGATAAGACACCATTGTAGGTACTTGAAAACGGACACAGCTCCGTTATTTCATTTCTGTTTCAGCATACATGGAGCTATCGCCGTCATTCGTCTTGGTGTAAAAGAGATGATAAAAACAGATGCTAAAAGATTTCATTCAAAACCAAAGAATGACTAACAAGCAGAAATTCTGTTCAAGAATTGAGTAATAGGAAGCGATAAGAGCTCGTTAAATTATGGGGCAACACGTGAGCAAGAAGTAAAATTTTGTATGATCTCACTACTCTCCAAGAATCCTACTTCCTAAATTTAAACAAAATAATGTAAATACAACGCAGTGTATGATTCCTTTTATAAAAATCCAAGAAGGATATAAATTAATTTCGATCTCTATCGGTAATTCCATTGTTTGGAATGATTCTGATATGAAAAGAGTGCTATACATATCGAAATTAAAAGTCATCAATCAATTAATCGTGAGTTCCATCACAATCGCACAATACAAATATGTGTGATGGAATTATTTGTGATAGATTTCTTGGAGAATACAGGTACACCATACAATAATTTCATGTTTGCGCTTATTTTCAAAAATTGTTTAATAAAATTTGCTCTTACACACTGATTACATTAACACTGTTATAAACAAAACATTGCAAAAGAAAAACATCACAATATTAAAGTCCAGTTTAAGACTCAACACCTCAATAATTAAGTAATTGTATATGTACAATGTATGAAGGATGCATCAATAAAAATAATTATTTTTAAAATATAAGGAAAAATGACTTGAAAGTATATACAAGTGAATTTAATTAATATTTATAATTAAAATACGAATACAATTCGATGTGTACCAGTCAGTTTTTTATCCAATTTACGAAATTAATGTTGAGCCGCTTTGTTGCCAAGATTCGATTGCTTTATTGACGATTACCTCGGATGTTTCTTCCGTTATCTAAAATAATAACTGTTTAGTAACAGTTTTACGCGCTACTTTGTAAATAAACGTATTGAAGATAATTTCATACATTGGAAATAGTATCTAAAATACCATCTATATTTTCGTATCTCAATAAAATTCTTCTTAAGGTTGTTAAGGTAACTACAGTAACAAAGATTAAAATCCTGTAAGCACCTACAGCTATCTTATCCCATATTCTGTAATAAATAGATACCATAAGCTTTTCGTATTTATCCATTTCTTATATTTAATCTGAATTATCAAATGCATGTACTTTGCAATAGAACCATTGGATATTGTTCCTGCGAAGCATGAACAAAACCAAATGTCGTATGGAATATTGTGAAGTGCTTGAATTTTAACAAGATGCTTGTATAATTCAGGGTCTTCTCTTTCCAACAGGGTACAAACATATTCCCTTAATTTGACCACTTCTTTGTGCAGCCTTTGCACTTGATCTAAAAGTCCACATAATATCCAGTAAGTGTCTACAAGTTTTTCCTCGTAGCAATCAATGTCAATGATATGCCACAACGTCTCAGCCATTCTGCTCATAGCTCTGAAGTAAATTATATTATTAATGAATATAGCAATCACACAAGTTATAATTAAAAGATGAATTAATGTATCTTTAGAATAAAATTAGACCTATGTAAAGGAATTTCTAATTGAGTACTCATATCGAGTTTTGCTCTTCTAGTACGTAACAACCACATAGTAAGAAACATTAAATGAGGTTTTGTGTAATCGTCCAAAATCTTGGTAACCTTTAAGGCTTTCTGTAAATCATGGAATTCTGCTCTCCTTTGATTTAGTATAAAATCGTGACTGTCCACGTAAACCGGTATTACGTCCAGTAAGATTTTCCAGAGATAATTTCTATGCATAGCAGGTACAGTGAACCGTAAGCAGAATTGTTTTAGCTTAGCTTTATCAAACGGGCGTTCCTTAAGTAATATTTCCAAGGATCTTTTTTCTTCGACACTACGAAATCCTACCTACATTTGGAAAGTATATTTATTTTTAATTATTCATAAATACACTGCATTGTTTAAAAGCTGTATAGGAAATACAGATAAGAATTCATACTTTCTCGTAATACGAGGAACGAAAATTTCGTTCGTCAGCCATCGCTTAATGAACAATTAATTAAAAATTATTTAATACTCTTAATAATACACTCCGAATACGTTCGACTTGTCTGTGTTTATAACAGCTGACTGTGGTTGACAGTGGTTGACGTTGACACTTATATAATCTCGTTCAAAATGCGTGTAGTGTAACTCGTGTGAGCTTGAGCTGGTGTGTGACGTGTGACTGGTGTGGTGTGAGCCGTGTGAGCAGCATTGGAGCAGCACCATGAAACCTTTTGTCCATATAGATAAGAACGTCGTTTTTCATATTGTTTCCTACGGCGGAGACAGAATTAATTGTTTACCACTGCCACTCACTTCGGAACTATTATACACATACAACAATCATGTTAACAAGGATAGAATAAATTTTTATTTTTAACAAACAATAATATCTTCAGAGAAATTTCCCAAGAATGGTTTTTGCACATACTAGATCTCGAATTTTTTGCACATCGACCCATTCTTTCTTTATTTACAGGTATGCAATCATCCTTGATCATCCTTGACGAGCGATTACACGACATAAATTCAACGTGACATACGCATGTATCTGAATCAAACTTTTACTGATTTGTGAAACAATGGAAAGAATACATTAATTAGTTTTTATTTACTAAATTCCAAGTTTGATGTCACAGTGGACGCAGTATCGGTAATATGTAACGAATTTGATAATGTTCAGATTAGTGTCGACGAATTTATATTGTATACGATAAAATTGTCAATGAATCATCGCGACTGCCGTAACCTATGAGTATTGTCCTTTGCGCCTTTCGAACATTCGTCGACATCACATATTTTTGTGTTGTTACATCGTCGATCGGAAGAATTCCGATAAATTCTCTTTTTAAATGAATCCTAGTGAACCAAGGTGGTCGTAGGACTTGTGATAGATCACTGGGTCTATGCGAGAATAAAATATCTCACATTTTTCTAATAAATTATCCGCAAGTCATATCAGTGTAATAATTTATTTCTTATCAAAGTACTCGCGCGTCAAGAACATTAAAACAGCTCACAATGACATCGCTGCATCAAAATGAAAAAATTTTATGCACAGATGTTGCTGCTGCCGATCAGTAAGGATCAGTTCCACAATCAAACAATGAAGAAACAACAAAACATTTTTCTTCGATTCTAATTTAATATAAACGCTTTGTTTCAGGTGCAAGTCGTCTAATGTAAAAATATCCAACACGTCCAACATGTCTAACGTCAATCATATAGAGAAGAGATACAACGACATTGTCAAATCTCCAAATGACAAACGAGAATACAGAGGTTTGTTGCTCACCAATCGAATGAAGGTTCTGCTCATTAGCGATCCAACGACAGACAAGAGTGCCGCGGCTCTGAGCGTGAACATTGGTAAGATCATACGTCTCGGCAGCAGGCATGCATTCGCTATCTGTTCTGCTCGTTCTTGCAGGCTACTTGAGCGATCCAGACGATCTACCAGGTCTTGCACATTTCTGTGAACACATGTTGTTCTTGGGAACAGAAAAATATCCAGAGAAAAATGATTACAACAAATACCTGTCGCAGAACGGTGGCACGTACAATGGATCGACTAACATGGATCATACCCTCTATTATTTCGATGTGCACTCGGAGAAATTGAAAGGCGCACTAGATCGTTTTGCACACTTCTTCATCTCGCCGCTCTTCACCGAAGCTCTGACCGAGTTAGAATTGAACGCTGTCAACTCTGAATTCGAGAAAAACGTAGCGAACGACACGTGGCGGCTCGATCAGATTGAAAAAACGTCTGCCGATCCCAATCATCCTTATTCGAAATTCGGTTCCGGTAACAAGGACACGTTGGACACGATCCCAAAAAGGAAAGGGATAAACGTGAGAGAGCAACTACTTCAATTTCACAAGAGATATTATTCTTCCAACATTATGGCCTTGTCTGTACTTGGCAAAGGTAAACAAGAGATTCCGCGCACAAAAGTTGGCGTAAAAGTTGTCAAATGTTGTTACGTTACGTTTAGAGAGCTTGGATGATCTCGAGAGCATGGTAGTAGAGCTATTTTCTCAAGTGGAGAACAAGGACGTAGAAGCGCCCGTTTGGACGCAGCACCCTTTCGATGAACGACACTTTCAACACAAATGGTACGTCGTTCCGATAAAAGACATGCGGAATCTGTACATTATATTTCCACTACCCGATTTGCGAGAGCATTACAAAGCAGCGGTAAGATTTATCTCTGTTGTATTTTACTACTTCGGTCGGTCGGTCGGTCGGTCGGTCGGTCGGTCGGTCGGTCGGTCGGTCGGTCGGTCGGTCGGTCGGTCGATCGATCGATCGCAAAAGTGACGACGCAAAGGGGAATTTTTCTAGCCCGCACGGTACATAGCACACTTGCTGGGGCACGAAGGAGAAGGATCGCTGTTGTCCTGCCTGAAGGCAAAAGGATGGTGTAACTCGCTTGGATCGGGTAAAAGATCGGGCACCAGCGCCAGGGGATTCAGCTTCTTCGCCGTTTTCGTCGATCTGACAGAGGAAGGTATCCAGCACGTCGACGACATCGTACTACTCACCTTCCAGTACATAAACATGTTGAAGGAACAAGGGCCGGTGGAATGGATTTACAATGTAATTATCCGCAGAATTCGAGTATTTCTCTTTCGATCGATATTCTAATAATGATGAGACGATTGTTTCGTTGCAAAGGAATACAGAGACATTGCAAACATGAACTTTCGGTTCAAAGAAAAGAGCCATCCTTGCGACTACGTCAGCGGTATAGCGCAGATACTTTACGATTATCCGATCGAGGATATTTTAGTAGTTGGATACCTGTTCCCGTCGTGGAGACCGGATCTGATCGATTGGATAATGGATTATCTGAAACCGGAGAACGTGAGGATTCACGTGATCGGGAAAATGTTCAAGAGCATAGCCGACGAGACTGAAAGATTGTACGGTATCAAATACAAGAAGGAGAAAATACCACAGGCCACTACGGACACGTGGATGAAGGCTGGTTTGGATCCAGCCTTGAGACTGCCACCGAAAAATATATTCATACCGGAAAAGTTTGACATAAAACCGGCAGAAGAGAGTGGTGTGTCGAAATTTCCGACAATCATAGAGGACACGTCGTTGATCAGGCTGTGGTTTAAGCAGGACGATGAATTTCTCATGCCCAGAGCCAATTTATTCGTCGATTTCGTCAGTCCTCTGGCCTACATGGATCCTCTCAATTGCAACTTGATGTATTTATTCGTGTTGTTATTTCGTGATTCTCTGAACGAGTACGCGTACGCTGCTGACATAGCCGGCCTCAAATGGGAGCTCAACAACAGTAAATACGGGATGACGTTAGGAATCGGAGGCTACGACGACAAGCAACACGTGTTGCTAGATAAAATCATAGATAAAATGATCAACTTTAAGGTCGATCCAAAGAGATTCGAAATTTTGAAAGAGAGCTACGTTAGAGGTCTGAAAAACTATAAAACTGAACAACCGTATCTGCACGCGGTTTATTATCTGGCCGTTTTAATGTCGGAACAGACCTGGGCGAAGGAAGAACTACTGAACGCGACTGCCCGTGAGTAAAATGAAAAAAAAAGTGATCTCTTACGTACAAAAAAAAATGTCTGTTTGATCTGTTTAATCTGTCGTCTAGAATTGACGGTCGACAGAGTCCAACAGTTCATCCCGCAGTTTCTGACCAAGATACACATGGAATGTTTAGTTCACGGTAACATGACAATGTCAGAAGCTATCGCGACGGCCAAGTTGATTGAATCAAAGTTGTCGGCCACGATACCACACATAGTCCCGCTCCTGCCCAGGCAATTGATTTTGCACCGAGAAATTAAACTTGGAGACGGCAAGTATCAGACGCTGTTCTTCGAATCGTGTGTGTGTGTGACAGCTCATGTTCATTCCAACTCCAGGTTGTCACTTTTTATTCGAGGTCACGACCAAGTATCACAGCAGCTCGTGTACACAGATTTATTATCAGACCGGTCTGCAATCGACCGAGTCGAACATGTTGTTGGAGCTCTTGGCACAAATTTTATCGGAACCTTGCTTCACTACGCTCAGAACTAAAGAGCAATTGGGATACATAGTGTTTAGTGGCGTTCGGCGAACGTACGGTGTACAAGGCTTGAGAATTATAGTTCAGAGCGACAGACATCCTAAATACGTCGAACAGAGAATCGACGCGTTTCTAAAGTGTATGATGGTCGGTATGATGGCTTGTGTGACTCGTTCTTTTTCTCTACCGATGGAATTTCTTTTTTTTTTTCTTTTTCCAGGAACACGTGTCGTCGATGAACGACGAAGAATTCGAGTCGCACAAAGAATCGTTGGCGATTCGACGATTAGAAAAGCCTAAACAAATGAATACCCTGTCGGCTATATTTTGGAGCGAAATAGTGTCGCAACAATATAATTTTGATCGAGCAAACATTGAAGTTACGTATTTGAGAACTGTGACGAAGGAGCAGATACTGAGCTTCTACAAAGTATGTACACGAGTGAACGATGAGTATGATGAGGTCGTTACAGAAATTATACTGGATTTAAATGCGTATTGTAGGAAATGCTTCGAAACGATGTTCAACATAAACTATCGGTGCACATACTTTCCACGTTGAAAGATCCGTCATCTGATGACGCGACATCTAGCGACGCTAACGAGTCGATGAACACTACTATTGAATATAAAAAGATTGATGATATTCTGTCGTTCAAAACTAGTCAGTGTCTGTATCCATTGTTGAAACCGTTCACTGACATACCGAGAAAAGGAGCACTCTCGTCGAAATTATAGATCGACCAACGATTGTAAATACCGGTACTCGTACTCGTAGAGAACGACGTCAAACGAGCACGATGGTTCCAACACGGTCGCGTAAACAAAATAAAAAACATTGTACAATTATTGCAAGTATTAATTTCGTTAATGGCAACTACGTTTAATAAAAAGAATGTTATGATTATGAGTCGTTCGTCGTTTAAATTTGTCCACGTGGCCGAGTGTCTGAGCAGCAGAAGAAGAAGAAAATGTTCCAATGTATTTATTCAAAGACGACGTTACAGTACGATTTCTATTCGTCACAGCCAAAATTGAACAAGTATCTATATTTATATTACATTAAAATAATACAGGCGAGTCTCACACGATACCCGCGATAAAAAGAGAAGCGAGTCTATTTATAAACTGTATTTAAAAATATTTCATTGATAATTGCAAATTGGATAAATGTTGTGTGTCTGTGCAGTCTTTGTACATCTTCTCATGTCGTATTTCTAAAGGTAACGATTCTGTTGGTAAATTAACATACTCGTACACACGATACTTGTATAAAGAGTAGAGCTACTTGGAAATAATATACACGATTAGTAAATTTCTGCCATAAGTAATACGACCAGAGACGTCCAGCCGGTGAACGGGTGACTGCCTCTGCCCTCTCCGTGGACATCTCCATAATTCTCCCACAGGTATCCCGATTTTTTGTACTGCTGAATCAAATTCTGTATCAGATTCCGTCTTAAACTCTGATAAATCTCCTTCGCTTCGTCCCGGTACGGACCGTCCGTATTGGAATAATGATACGTCGCCCGTACTGTTAAATAATTCAAGTTCATCCAAATGGCTCCCCTCCAATACGGAGCATCATGTTCGGTGTTGTACTTCATGTAGAACGGCGACGTCTTCGCGAGAGACCGCAAGCCGTACTTGGTCCACAACAGATCGTCGTTCCTCAGGTCCTTCAGTACTTTGGCCAATTGTGGAGAGTCGGGATCAATGATCTGCAGAATATACGGAAACAACGAGACGTAGCCAAAGGACGTGTCGACGTATCTCAGAGTCGGGTCCTGCGTCACGACTCGTACAGTTTCCGCGGGTTGCGACCTCGGTGGCGTTGTCGGTTTCCGTAGAGACACCTTGTCCGTGTGCAAACCGAAATCGGCAAAAGTCTGCGTGCTCGGAGACCAGTGTAACTTATTCAACAGATCGTTGTCCGACAAGTATCGATACGTCTCCCGATACTTGTCGACGACGTTCGACGGTTGGCCTATGACTTGGCCGATCTGATGCATGACATCGGCGGCGAACGCGATCCAACATCGCAGATCGACGTGTCGTTCGTCGACGTTAGGATGAGAGGCTCTCGGATAATCGTCCAGTCCGGACGTGAGAGTCTTCGGATTCAGCTCTCTGTTGGTCGACCCGTCTCTCCCTCGCCACCTGTACGTACTCGGTATGTCTCCCGTTTGCGTGGTATTGAACCAATTGAACCATGCCTCGAGGCGAGGGTACAGATTGCCGAGGAACTGCTTCTCCAGCAGTTCGTCGTGCTTGTGTCTCAATATAAAGTGCAGCGTGAGGTAAAATGTGGGCGGGTTCGCGTTCGTGTTCATCTGAGTGACAAACTCTTCCGGAACCTTGGCCAGGGCCTCTTGACCCAAGATCATTTCCCTTGGAATCCAGCCTTCGACGTTCATCGTGTCGAACCAATGGTTCATGATGTCCAGCTCGATCTCTAAATCCCAAACTGATACGAGTAATCCGTGAAAGCCCTCGTCCCACAGAAATCCTCGCGGGAAGAAGCTTCTACTGGGCACGGCGGTGTACAAGGGTGCTTTCCAATAAGGCACCGGTCCTTTGGTGTATTCGCTCTGCACTTGCGAACTGCCGTAAAAATAGCCGATAGAGCCCATCATGTTCGACAGCGACATTTTTGCGAACCGAATCTCCTCCTCCGTGTAATCCTTTGATCGTAGTTTAAACACTCTCTCAAACTTTTCGTCGAAGAACTTTCTTCGAGTTTGCAGAGCGCGATCATATGTCTCGCCGGTCAACTTGTCGATTCTGTCGATGAAGCTGCCCGATTCGAAACAAACTTCGATCTCGAAAGGAATCTTTCCCGTCACTTGAGACGCGATAAAGTTTGGACGTTTCTTTTTTCCGTCCGGCGACGACGGGATTTGCTCCCCGGCCAGAACTATGTACTTTTTCGAGGATCCTTTCTGCGTGGCTATTCTGAGATTCTGGAGAACAGTCTCTTTGAGTACGTTTAAACCTGCCGCAACCGCTGCTAGGAAGGACTGCTCCACTACAGAGCCCCGTGTCACGACAAGATTTATAGTGAACGAGCCCAAACCTTGGGTAGTCCCCTCTATTCCCGTCAAACGTTTCTCATCGCCGGTGTTGACTTTGATCACCGATCCTTTCACACCCTCTTCGATGGCAGTGTAGAAGATCAAGGAAATCTCCTCCCCTGTCTGATTTCTATTCGACGTTACGGCAATCCTCGCTGTCCAATCCCCGCCGTGTTTCCCGCCGAGTCTTTTAACGAACGTAGTATTCAAAATAGCTGCGTGATCCACTATTTCTTGAACGCCAAACGTTCTCCCGTCGTGTTCCATCCAAGCGTATCTTGAGTGAAAAGTTTTCACGATGAGCGTGTTCTGTACGAACCAAGTCGTCTCAGAGACAACAGATTGATCTCATTTACCTGTCTAGTTCATCGCCTTGCTCGCACCAGTGTCTAAGGCCACTACCGTCTTGACGCAACGAGTGTGGGAAATACCACATCAATCCCGTTACCAAGGAATGTGGATCCCTCGTCTTTAATCCGAAATAAACACCCGGCCTGTAGGTGCCCCAGTATCTGTCTGGGACGTCCAGTCCGGAGGCGATCACCATCTACTTTAACAGGAACAAACGGTCATACCAACGATCATGTGTAGCACAGACGAGTCGCGTACCTTGTTCATGTCATACGGAGTGTTCACTCTCGTTTCCAGATACCCTTTATAACTGAACCAGCCAGCAATAGCGATACATAAAACCGTGACTGAAACGTTCAGCATGGACATCTTGATAAATTTACCTGACTTTTTCGCAAACTGCGAATTCACCACAGTTTTATTCTTCGGTTTCACATATTTGTCTTGCGTTCTGATTTTTGCCATCCTGTTCGCGCTGGGAGGGAAAACACACGCTACGTGTCATTCGTTAATATTAATTAAACTAGTACCTCGACAAATAATAAAATGAACAGTGTTTAAAACAAGCGTAAAAAGTAAACTACCTCGATTAATAGTAAATGCAATCTATTTAACGACACTTTTAAAGGAAACGTATCGATAACTCAACGTTCGAATTGAACAAAGTCAGAGCGATCGTTCATCGTTTCGCGAGGTTACGCCGGACGATTCGTTTCGGCGTTTATCTTGAATAAATGTTAGACGAGGTAAAGAACGCGGTTTTGCATTGAAGCAATTGGGCATGAACGAGAAGCACGCGTCACATCGTTTCTGTTTTTGCTGATCTCATCAGTGAGACCGATAAGAGTTAATAAGCAGGTACGAGACGATCGAGAACCTACAAAAATAAGCTGTCTGTTGTACGTAAAACAGTGGGTGGTACAATACAACACCGATCGGGGATCGAAAGAGAGCGACTCCGTTTAATATTTTTATTGTTATTTATTCAATAGTTGCACATGTTACAAATAAAACATTGACTATATCGCCATCACACGATAATTGCTGATGGGGAAGAGCTTATTGTATGTATATTTTATTTATATTCATTATCGTGTGTTACATGCCTTCCATTAGTAGTGAACACTACCGTACAACAAGTATACAATGTATACTACGTACGTTATTCGAATTTTCAAATGGAAATGTTCGATCTTGTCTGATTTTCGTATTCAACATCTAAAACATCTTGTCTGTAATTTCCATTTGAATTTCAAATACTTCTGGTCGTCACAAATAATAAACAAATACGTAGAATGCGTTTTATCGTGATCGGAGAGAGTGTGTTTTGGGATCATTTTGTTCGTACATGTACAGTGCACATACGTTGGAACGAGCATTGTTTAAATTTACTCTGCTTATACGCTAGTGCCTCGAGTATCTTATTACATACATTTGTCTTTAAAAATGTTAAAACAATTGCGTATGTACAGCATATCAGCAGCAACGCGTCTCCCTCGAACGTCGAGATTCTGTGAATACAACGAAACGTTTCTCTTGTAAAAAAATAACTCGGTGTGAAACAGTGGACAATCGTTTTTCCCTTGGTTCAACACATTATTTGTTAAAACATGTTCACAGCCAATAGTGCACATCAACTGCGATAAACTTGGGAATGTAACGAGGTGATGAGCTTGATCAATTTTATATCTTGTGTTCTCTTTACAACGACACTTTGATTAAATTAATTCGTTCGATTATCAGAAGTGTACATTACATGTAATGACAATATGGTAACATTTGAAAAGGTACGAAAAGAATTGGAAAAAGTGTCGGGATCGCGCAGATCGTTGTTTCATGTAAAAGGCATGCGTACTCGTATGATCTCTTCTAAGCTGGCCTTTATACGAAATTGTCAATCATATATATATATATATATATGTATAATTATAAACGAACGTACAATGTGTAAAAGTGAATTATGATACAGAAATGAAAAAACATTCATATATGTATGTACATTGGATTTTCGCTAGCATAATACCGTGTACCATATGTATTCTACAATGACAATCTCCTCGATCGTCTACACGTCTTTCTTTTACAAATAATGTCATGATGATAAAATACAGTTCTACGCGATAGCGAGTGTCAACCTGAACAACGATTCCGTAACGTTTCATTGATTCAGAAATTATACACGTTTCGAGAAATTATCCAAACGTTACAAAAATCAATCATCAACCGAATACCATGTGTATACATATAACGCGCCGTAAGTTTTTTATTATTTGATTCTTTCGTTTAACAAATATAACAACGATTCGTTAATTTTTGTACATTGTATTGCTTCCTTCTGCGTGAGCGTTCTAACGTTATTAAATACATACACGTTATCAACAAATATATATTACATCACTAAAGTTTATGTAAAGGCATCTAAACGATACAATTTTGCAATGTACATACGCGTATATACGCTGTGTGTTGTTTCACCGCAAACAGAACACACGATGATCGAGAATTATTCGAATTAAACAACAATTGGTGCGCGCAAAGTATAATTATGCGAATTATTTATATACTTGGTATCTATATATCGTTCGGTTCCGGCCAACTTTTATTGATTTCATTAAATATTGTACCGAATGTTAATTGACTTACATTGCTATGCGCAAAATAACGTGCATCGTATGTTGAACGTAGTTGTAAATTAAAACAATACAGGTGAATCCGGAAAGTGTATCTCTCTGCACGTACGAGTCGCGCGCACCGCGCACGCAACGATTCGTACACGCAATTAGAAAATGATTGTGTTTAGCAATATATAATAATATGCCGTTCGTTACGTAGTTCCTTTCGATCGTTTCTTTAAAAAGTAAAAGTTTAATAAAAGATAATACTGCGTCGTTTTTTACACGAGATCTCCGCAAACGACAAAGCGTTCATAAAAAAAGAACGTATGTACGCATTTACGTGTTTAATTGGATTTTTGTTAAGTAGTAGTAGTAGTAGCAGCAGCAGCAGCAGCAGCAGCAGCCTACGAACGAGAGTGATGAGAGAAAGAAACGGTAACTGTCGAATTACTATGAACCTCTCTTTACAAGTAACGCGACAACTACAGAATTACATTACCTCTAGGTGAAAGTAAACGTTTCGTAATAACGTTGCTAACGCAAACAAATGTGTCTTTTTAATTCTCGGCTCAACGTTTTTGAAACACGGAATTCTTCATAATTATACCCTTTCTATGAAACAAAGAGATCGTTGTTGCAAAGCTACGTTTAAGGGATGTTCAACTAACTTGTACACTATCGTCGTCTAAACTTCTAATGGAGAATCGGACGAAATATAACTCTGCGCGTATACGTATATCGTAACATAAGAAAATCGTACAACAAATAATATCGCGGCCAGCGCTCATCGATGATGAATATTTTCAAACAAATTTATATAATATACTCAACAGTTTTTTCCTCGCCGTTAGCTTAGACACGTCCCGTTATTAGTATCTCTCGTTTTCTTTCGTTTCAATTGACGGTGGTCCAACGCAAGTGGACAGACGAATCAGCGCATTTTTACGCGCGCGCGCGTATACCTCGTTGGAATGCGAATCCGTTACCAGTTTATGTCGTCGTGTTGTTAATTAGTCGACAAAAATGTTCGTAGTCAAATGTGTGATGTCGGCTCGGACACAGGAGAGAGAGAGAGAGAGAGAGAGAGAGAGAGAGAGAGAGAGAGACAGTAATGAATTTTGAAGAAGAAAAATTTTTCTTGTTTCGTCGAAAATGAAAACATTCCTACGAGGTATGCAGCAACACGACTATCGGCTGTAAGTAGCGGATTTATACTTACAGATTAATGTACTGATTCGACTGGCCAGTTGCGTTGATTACGGTTCATTTTCTCAAACTGTCTTTACTGCTCGCCCGGCTGGTCGAAGCTGTGCTAGACTCCCCGGGACCACCGGCACCTCCCGCGTCTCCATTGATACTGGATCCGGCGAGAGACGCTGTCGGTGTGACCGGGGCCGAACGTCTCTTCACTTCGGTCAGAGCTTTGTCTAGTCGTTGTATAAACAGCTCGACGTCCGATCTCTTCATGCCCAGAGTTGCCGCAGCGGTCAAGTATGGCACTGGATAATTGCTATTGTGTGCTCCCCAACCTGATTCAAATTTGGGAAACTCGCAGTGAATCCTCTGTCGTCTGTATTCTCGAAACTCACGTACCTTCGAACTTGTGATTAACAATATGCTTAGACTCCGTCGTCGTTATCACTCTCGTACCGCTGACGTTGCGAAGGAACAGCATCGAGCCGAGCATCGTCACTTGCTTGTTATCGTGCTGATGGCTCAAACACTGTAGAGTCATTCCCATCGATATCGGATTCCCTTTGGTGTCCAGCAATCTCTCGTCGTGTCTCGCCGCCAATTTTCCAAGTTCCTCCTTCAAATACGAATACATCTCCTTTCGTTGCGTTATCAATTGCTTGTAACCGGCCATGCCTAGGCTCAGCAACGTTATCATTACGTCCATGATAGAGCTAGCGCTCGCGCGGCCCGGATAATTTTTTGATATGCGATCTAGAAGGCTTTTGTCGAACGATCCAACGATTGCGCCGCCGACCGGCACTAAAAGGTTCTTATCCGTGCTCTGAACGAAAGCGTCGACGCGACCTTTTCGCGATGCTTGTTGAATTAAATGCATGCACCTTGTGCTCTGCAACCTGTCGGTGAGCAGTGTGAGAAGAACTGTTCACATTCGTTTAAACGTTAAAGAAATATGCTGTACATACCCGTATGAATTATTTACTAAGTGAGGAATGTTATACTGGGTACAAAGCGCCGCGATAGAGTCGATGGAATCGTACGCTCTGGGCGCGAAGCAGCTAGTGGTCGTGAGCACACAGGCAACGCTTTCACCTAAAGCTGCCATTTGAGACTCAAGTCTCTGCATGTCCGTCTTCAACTCGTCGCCGACTATCTTGGTCTCGATAACGATCGGCTCTAATCCAGCCGTGATTATCGACTTGAAGCTTGATTTCTGATCGATTCTAGGCCACAGGACGTACCTCGCTCGCGGCCTGTCCTGTTTGAACGTTAACATACACAAGACCAGGCTCATGCCTGTAGCCATCGGTGATAAAAAACAGCCCGCTATACTCTTTACACCTGGAAAGAGAACAACGTGATCATTGATCGCACTGTCGTAAGTGGCACGAGATGCAACATCGCTCGCAACATTCATCTTACCCATGTATCGGATAACTTCGAGTACTAGTGCGTTCGTTAGTTTATACATCAAGCTGCTACCCGCAGCTTTTGGTTGCACTTCCTCCAAATCACTCGACCTGCCTATGCCATGACCCATCCGATAGTGTCGCCTCGCAACAATGTTCGACGCGATTCTTGCCTCGCGCTCCCCGACGCTACAATTTGCAGGAAAATTGTTGCTGTCCATTTGTGAGAGGTCTGAGAGGAAAGCTTCTATCGTAGCATCGTCCCAGCCGTCCTCTGGCCATTTTTGCTGTTCCCAAAGTGTTTGTGTCGATCATTCGTAAAAATGATAAGACGCAGACGAAAAGATGTCGAAAGAATCGTCTTACGTGCTCGATAAAGTGTCTTATAAGATTCTCACGTGCTTTCTTTGCGTTTAAACCTTGTTGCACGTAGGTCGAAGGGATAAGTCTTTCCGCTAAGCTGAATGCCTGATTGTTCATCTTCTTCGATTCTGGTCGGACTCTTTCAAATACTTAGGCCACAAATGTTAGGAAGTTTGATGCCTTAGTACAGCATTGCTTTCGATAATCAATATTAAATTGTTAGAATAATTATTGTTATTATTATCTCTAGTATGTGAACACAGAAGGTGCCGCCGAGTCGAGTCAAGTTTCGCAGAAAATAAAAACACATTTTTCATGTAAAAATAAAATTTATTAAAATATCGGATGTACGGATACAGAAATTATATATACATTATGCCTTGCGACATGCGGGAACTAATCGTAATACGTACAAAAACAAAAGGCGTTTAATTAACGAAAGTAAACATGACGGTGTATCGGTAGACGGGATATCTTAAAATAATCACTGTGCAAAAAACGTATCACGTCGATTCAATGCGAACACTAAAGAGTAAGTAATCGGCAGAGACTTCTTCGTGAATCGGTCGTGTAAATCGACAACGTCACGTAAAACAGTGTGGAAGCGGGAGAGAGAGAGAGAGAGAGAGAGAGAGAGAGCGCGCGCGGTTCTTTTCGATGAGAGTGAAATAAAATGGAACATTGATACGCGGTGAAGGTTATGTGTTTTTATTATGTATGGACGAATATGGTCGATGCAACACACCTATTAGAGGAAATAATATGAGAAGAACAAATGTTCCTGGAGCGAGAGAGAAGCGGTGGTAAACGAGTTAGCAGATCGTCCGTCGATTCCGTAGGTGACACGCGGTGTACGGTGGGACGCGGTCTGATAAACGAAAGAACAGAAAATGGGTTGGGCTGCGAGATGAGATATTGACAGCGGTGCGTTCGACGATCACTACCTGACGATGCATTTCAAGGACTCCAAGCCGTGTGATTCGTAACGCGAATTCAACCCCAGGCGGACGCGAGATGAACGCGAACGGTCGGGGATATTGTCAGCAGGCACATACGGGTTTTGTAGGTTATGTCGCGTCGAGGTCACCTAAATCGGATTAATTTTACGCAACAGAGCGGATGCAACGTAATTGTTTGGCCACTGGGGCCTGAGGACTGTGTTTCGACTGTTGTTAGTTACACGATGTGTACCGCGGACGCGTGGAGAATTGCGAAAACTACGAATTACGGGATTTTACCTCGAATTATGGCGTTCAGGCGACAGCGGACGGACGGGTTGCGTACGGCGCTACGAACGAATTCGTCCGCCGCCTTTGCGGGTCAAAGTGATTCGCGTACGACTTACGACTCAACTATGCGGCAGGTGCATCACTTTCTGATAAATTACCCCGTCCCATCTCCCATTCAAATCATCGATCATCACACGCCGATATGAAAAATGGAAATGTAGCGCAGAATCATCGATCTTTAAGTATGTCGTACACATTCTACTATTTAAATCTTTATAAAATCTGACAGTAGTATTCAATCTCAATTGTTGTAATTTATATACATGTTAATAGAGTCTGTACAAGTATTTGCCTGCGGTCGTTTGTTTTTCGTTTAAACTTTGAGCGCGTACAAGCTCGCAATTAAAATGGGGACGAGCTCGCATCGAACGAGTATCATGGTAGCGCGGCGTGTCGAGAAATATTCATTGCACGTATTACTTTATTACTTGTTCTCTCGGTTCGTTTATCATGTCTATTTTAACACATAGTATTCTGTAGTGGCTTTGCAATGCCTCGCGCTTATATTAGATCCAGTCCGTTTGAACTTGATCTTGCAATTGACATGTGTGTACGCCTCTAAATAATTTCGCGTTTAAATAGTTGCCCTCGTGAAACTTACGTAATCACACCTCTTTCTTCCATGCGTCTCGATCGTTCTCTCGACAGCCGACGACAACGAAGAGATGACCGAAAAATACCTGATCAGAATTCCACACCGAGATTACTCACGTGCGATTCATACTTTTTTTTTTACGATACATCTGTGCGATTTGTCGCGGTTTTTATAAATAAAACTTCGATCCGTTCACCCTGAACATTCCGCCAACGGTCATCATCCGCTAACAATATAGGAACACTTGAATTCTGTGCATTGGCATACCTGCATGCGGGTCAATGCAAATTCAGTGAATTGACCCCGATGCGCGGCGGTGAGGTTTGCATTGTGATGACAGACACTGGTCAGTGTGTTTGAGTTAGTATTCGAATGAAAGTGTGTCGTGCTGTGTGTTAATATATTAACCTAAGCTAGAATACTTTCTCTGTGCTTTCTTAGATTTATATACAAAACGTTAGAGTACTTGATCGTTGAACGCTCGAACGGCTGTAGGTACGTTCGCTCCGTTTTCGCGATAATTTCGCTAATCGGTCCCGTTGATATCAATGGCCGTATATACCTTTTCGCAATTCTTTGTAACAACTCGCACTTGTCAGCGACAATTAGATTTCCTTGCATGTTTTTTGCATTGTGAACGAGAGTCATCTAGTAACGACTGACAGTTGTAGCAGCATGTCTTACGTATACAATTAGCCGAGACAATTTGCTCGTTTGTTGTTGGTTTTTGATACATACAACGATAGTTGCAGTGGATGAAATTTTACGTGCGGTTCTGAAAGTGAACGAGCTCGCGAGTGATGTAAATGTGAATTATTACACACGATCCTGTGTCGAGTCTATTATATATACCATGTCTTGTAATTGGCTGCATTTACATTTAATTGTGATTTGCTTGAGAATGCATTTTGCACGCGATAAGTAATTGACAAGTATAAGTACTTGTCAATGTGTCGACATGCGGATGCATGTTTGCACGCGTCGCATTACCGACTTTTAAATTCCGTTCGCTCGAGAATGGCTCTGTTGCGAATGAAAATGATTGTTATGAAAATTGACGAGCGTACATGGTCCGATTGTATCTATAGATTGATGAATCCTCTTTTCCCTTGAATTCTTCCAGTTGATCATGGAATTGGAAAATTGTAATTCGCACGGGGATCACGCGAACAGCACATCCCAGAATGAAAACGATCCCACCGGAAGCAGGAAGTGGTACCGGCAAGCCAGTCAGAGGTTTGTGATTCTAATTTTCAATTAAACGTACTCGCGTTTCCTACGAGAAGTTCTATGAAACATTTGTAAGGTGTTAGACTAGATATTGGAACGAGTATCCCAATCCAGCGCGTTACAAGTACTTGGCAGCGTATGATCGTATGACAAACGGGGTTCAGGTTATCGGAAATCAGAAATTTTATCGCATTCGCAAGATCGTGAAGACTGCGGTCGACCGACCTGTACGCAAATCATCGGAAGCGGCTCAATCGTATTTGGCGAAAATGACAACTGTTTGAGATCTATACTTTTTGTTCGCGCATCGTTTTGCTCGCCGTACGGATTACATTCGATTCGATTATTCCAATCGGAACGAATCTCTAAACGTACATATTTATCTTCAGTCATGCGAAATGAAACATAATCTCACGCGATGATTCGCACTTCTCTCCACTTAACCGTCATCATTTAGATAACAGCAGCGATTGTCAAAACATTCAGAAGATAACGAACGTGTATTCTGTCATTAAAAGATGAGAGAAGCACGGCGGACGTGTCTTCCTACGCGTTATTCACAGTGACACAAATTCGGGGTGTCACCTGTTACGGGAAAACGAATTCTTCCATCTCGTTTCTGATTCATACGTGAAATCTTTCGTTGATTTAATCGATTCGTATTGTCGTTCGTTGTTTCCCGGCGTACTTTTCCTTCTGGTCTACTATCGTCGTCGTCGTCACGCGAATGACCCCTGCAGCCTTCTTATCGTCCAGTCGCCCGTCGTTCCCGCCGATACTTTCGGGGCATTATTTGCTCGCGTGTTAGCGGTCTGAAAATGTTTGCCCCGCATTCATTACACCGTTGTCACTCGCCGTGGCCAGTCAACGTGTGAGCTAAACAATTTTCTCTCTGTTCGCTCGATCTCCGTTTGTGATCGATATAAACGGACTGCAAGAAGAGTCACGATCGACCCGTTATGAGCCGTGAAAACGTCGACGTGCCGGTCACAGCATTGGAAACAAATGGTAAATTGCTTCCTCGTTTCTGTACACACGTTTCCCTTATCATCTTCTACGCGCAGTGCGACGTACCGTCGTCGTCGATGATTTGTTCCGTTCGTTTCAGACAGATAAAACACACAATACCCTATTAATATTCCAACGGAACAGGTCGTCCGTGCCGCCGATAGCTTTCTAAAATTAGATCGACTAAAATAATTTAAATTCTCATCGGTCATTGTTCCTCTCGTTCTCTCGTTCGTTGGCGCTCAGTCGCAACATCGTCTCTTCCGCTGAAGGGAGAGGAATTTTGGTATTTTCCTTTCCAGATACCGCGCGTCTCATCTCGTCGTATCAAAGAGACAAAATGAACAGAATGACGTTTAGAATAGCAATGAGAGAACAAAAATGTTTCGCGGTTCAGACCCGATATTCCATTAGCCGAGTTCCTTTGCCCAGTAACCGGCATTCGAATGTTATTATGGAGCAGGCTGCAAAATCCCGTTCCCGGATCAGTCGAATATCTCTTTTGGGGACAGGCCTGAGACCTACGCCGGGATAACAATGACCAGGAACTGTCGTAACGACCCGGATGGCTGCAATGAGGTCGGCCGCGGCGTAAGAACGACATACAAACGTAAATTGGGTCACAGGTAATTTACTCAATTTTATTTTCACGCGTCGACCTGTGAATCATCCGCTTACTAACTGGGATAAATAGCAGCAAACTCGTTTCACCCGTGGTTTTCACACGATTACAATATTAGAAAATTTCCTCGTCGGTTTATTTGTTCTGCTTATTCGTGTCGTTAGCACGAGCGAGCGTATCGGCGTAACGATATGCACTGGAATCTTATCCGATGTTTGTCAATATTTTGTCTTATTTCCTGGTGCTAATTCTTATTTAAATACAAACGACTTGGCTCGTTACGCCTCGACTCGACCGGGGTATAACTTGCCGTTACTGCAATGCGGATCCGTCCTAACACGTACTCTTACCAAGCTCGACACCTTCGACTCGTACAGTATACCATTTTTCTCGTTTGTATCTCGATTATCATCTTCCACTTTCGTAACCGTTCCGAAACGAGCGTAATAAACATCGACTAAGTATTTGTTCCCTTTTATCTGTCGTTTCGCTTGTGGTCATGAGAGAGACGTACGTACGATACTGACAAGCGGAAAACAGATTTCGATATCTTAAATGCAAAATGAGTGCTGCAAAATACATTTCGTCATGTTTCGTACGCGCGATCGTATCCGTCGAGAGTGCCTGTCCTGAATCCCGAAGAGACGAATTTCAGAAATATACAGAATTGTCACTTTAGACACTATTCCTATGTATTCCTCGTGTTTAAGCACGCGAGCCATTCACGTCGTCCCCCAAGTCTGGCCAGTCTGACTGACTGACTGACCAATTCGGTTCGCGCGTAGTGGCGTTTCAAAAAGATTCCGGACGTAAAAAAAAGATACGTGACTGCTCTCACGCGGCTGTCTAGCAAAATATCTTTGCCACTCGATGTCATTGAAATTCTTTCACCCACTTGCGTATCATCGGTACTTAATTATCGTAACAATTACTGGACCAAACGATTTTTTTACGTTACGTTTTATCTTATAGGGAACATGTGTGAACGCGTAAATGGGTCGATAATTAATTTCGGCGTTCAAGCTGGATGCAATTTATTTTGTTTGTAGAAAATCTTGGCAAAGACAGTCTCGATTACATAGTATATACGCGCGTCTCCATTGATACCGTTCGGAGTGAATTGCTTATTCAAAGCAGAACGAGACGGTGAACGTGGTTTTAGTTACGTTTAGAATTTAATTTTAGCAGCGCATCTCAACTAGACGAATGCGTGTGCACGCGTAACTTAATATCAGCACGTATGAAATTATTTTCTGCGATAGGAGGAACATTACGTTGCGTTGTTTCGATTCTTCGGCGATCGATAACGATTGCAGTGAATCGATATTTCTCTTCTCGTTGATATGGAGTATCGAGCGGAGACGGGGCGGAGACGAGTAACGGGCGGAACCTAATACCAATTTCATCATCTCGTGTGTGCGATGGAGAGACGTGCGATTTCATTAGCTGAGAAAAAAAGACGACGTTCCATTATATAATAACTGAGCGCCGACACTAGGTAGTTAATTGGAAATGGTCGATTATTCCATTGCTTAGTCACGACAGAAAATAGCAGAACTTGTTCCCAAGTTTCTTTTTAATTGGAAACTATGATACTGCCAATCGTATATCGAACACACACTGTTCGACTCGGGCGAATATTGGCTGAGAATATACAAGTCGCAGGGTCCTCTCTGCACGTATCAGCTAGTGTCAAAAGGGACACGTGCCCCGCGAGGAATCGTCGAGAGTTTCGAATTTCTTAGATCCCAAGTTAGGTTCCGTAATTTTTTCTCGAGTAATTTCGGTGGCCGTGCAGACACAGCAAATAAATAGAGTGAAAGTGTGAATACGTACTTACCTACGTGTTTCGACACTTGACCGAGTTCAACGAAAGTCGATAACCAACGTGCAACAATACCAGCTGCAAAGAAGTTCGAAGCGTCTGAACAATGTATGTAATTAAAACGTGAAAACAGTCGTGCGTTGCTTTTTCGTTTCGTGTGTCGTCACACAATTCAGCGAGGTGTACGAATCGATCGCCACGGCACGTTTTATCGGATGAATTTACAAGCGTTCGTCTATCAAATATCCTGAAATATTAGCCGACTCGATGATCGGTCAGAAAGTAATCGGCTAACAGCTAGCAACTCCTCCTGAGAATCGATGCGAACCGCCAAACTCCAAGAGTCGGAAGTTCGATAGAATCTAACGATTGTGTCGGAAAGGTCGAGTTTGGAAATGTCTAATTTTAGTAGCAACAACGAAGGTTTCCGAGTTCGAAGGTTCCTCCCACGATGTAACGTGATTCGCGAGGTACGTTCACGAGGCTCTCGTTGATAACGAGATCGTGTGCTCGGTGAAGATTAAGCGTACCTCTCAAACCATAAGAACGAGTCCCACGCTCTCGTCGAGCTAGTCCTCGAAACGCCCTGTATCGCCAGGTCGTGTTCGCGTAGGAACGAAAGTGTGTGCGTCTATCGTTGAACGCGACACGCTAAATTGGGATTCTTCGCGAGACCACGCGCGTCGTTCCCGCTTCCGCCAATTATGACAATTGTGCAAAAAATTCCATGGGACCACTCGGTCTTATCGTTTATCTTCTTTTTTTTTCCACTTGGTCTCGCGAGACCCGAACGTGTGTAGGTATCTCCGAGCTCGGTATCATCGGGATGTGTGTGTCTCTTAAGTATGCGGTAATCGAAAACAATGCTGATCATTGCGTAATAACGAGACAGACGGTTCACAGTTCATTTCTGGCACGAGCTAGGCCTCATTTTATTCCCAAATACCGAGTATATGTATAACGTAAATAACGAAATGCGTAGTGGCCGTGAAATTGTAATTACAACGATCCTATTTTAAGTGTCTCGTCCTCTGAGTGAGTGAAAAGGGGGTCTTCTAGCTAACAGCGGAAGCCAGCCGATGGACCAGATTTATGCCCGGAAGACGATGAATTAATTGCTATCGGCGCGTATTAACTGGTCACTCGGCGAGTCAAGGATCAGTTGACGTTTGATCATCGTGGGGATCGCATCGCTTCGTTTCCTACCACGCGACTTTCCACGACGAGCATCCACGCTCGTTTCTTCGTTCTTTCTTTATTCACACTCGCGTGCTCTTTCTCTCTCTATCTCGAGAAAGAGAGAGAGAGAGAGAGTGACAGTGCCGATTAACACGGTGACGATTTATTTGAAGAGTAACAAGTGTCAGTTATAGTCGGAAGTGAGTACCGGGTTCGCGCTCTCTTCGTGTCTTATTTTATGCCTTAAACAGAACGTTTAACGAATTTGTCAAAGTCGTTGAAACACCTACTCACTCTCCATCGTGTCTCTGTGGCTGCAACAGTCGAGATAGAAACCTCGGTCACGCGGTGTATGCACTTGAAAACGCGCGTGTCGAGCAGTTTAACGTCACAGACAGTTTAATCGCGACGAAATGCTTCGATCGAACAGTATCTCCAATCCTTGATTCGAGCTTGAGTCTATTTACCGCGTGACAAGACATTTCTTTCGTTCTCTTCAAGTTGCCGAGTACGCTCGATGAGAGAGTACGTCGTCGAATTCTGCCGAGTCGTTTGTTCGCCAAACATGTACTAAATTTCAATTGAACGAAACCTTTGATCTCGTTCGAGGGGCACATTCGACCGCGACGAGGACGAATGAGAGTATCCTGAGAACGATGGACCGACGTTCGCAGCTCAGTTAAACAGCGCGTGCAATTACATAAATGGGGTGCGATAGTTGAATAAATTATTTTTTAATCACTCGCAAGCAGTTTTATAACTTTTCACTTGTCGATAAGAAAGATCGTTTCGTCGGCTATTCGAGACTTTGCGCACTCTTTTCGCGGAATCCCGTTCGCATGCGAGACACGCGCTAAATAATGAGCCGTTGTCGAGTGTCATTATTCTCTACCGGAGATACACTGTGCACGTTGCTAGTATGACGAACGAGAATGAGTAGACGCAGCAGTTTGCGAACTTGTCGCGTTACGAACGATGATGTAAGAACCGCGTTCCGATTAAATCGAGAGAGAAACGTTCTGTTCATTGTCTGTTAATCAACCTTTCCGTGTTAAGGATGTATTGGCTATACAGTCAATCCCAAAAGTTTATGCACTTTAGAAACGCATTTTTTAAATTTCCTCCTATACTTTTTAGCACGTAGCTATTTATTATTAGCATTATTCTTCCGACGTCTGATTTCTTTTTAATTATAGGAAATGCGTTTTTCTAAGGTACATAAACTTTTGGGATTGACTGTATAGCCAATACATCTTTAAATTGATCGATTCTCCCATTCTATCGAAGGTGTCGTTACCGACTAACCGAGGTACACGCATATCGGTCGCAAGCCGCTGATGATTATTTGTAAATAGCGAAAAATGTGGCTGAAGGATGTGAATGACGGCGCCTTGCCAGCTGCGAATTTCGTGAACTCGCGACGCGGCATCCAGAACGAGTAAGTTCCTCGTTTATTCTCTTCTGATAGAAATCGACGACGGGTCGGTAAATGAAACAGGCCCGTTATTTGTTTGCACAAGAGAAACCAATGAGCGAGCCTCCCCCCTCTGCCTATTTCATTTACCAGTAACTCGCACATAACTGTCCGTCCACGTATATTATCCGCGAGGATTTCGTAACTGCACTTTCAGAATTAATATTTACGTAGATCGCGACACTGCGAAATTCAACATGAAATCGGTAATCGTCCTGCGTAACTGTTTATTATTAGAAAAAGATACCGGCGCAATCGAATGCCAAATAATCGGTCGGTTGAGACAGCGCAGAAATTGCGTGAGAAATGCCGCAGCAAGGCTCGATCACGTGGCTTCGAATTAATGAATTACTTACCGCGACCCTCCGTTGATTATAGCGGTTTTCAGCCACCACTGTGGCTCCGATATAAATCGGCGCGATTATTGGCCTGTCACTCGTTTCATAAACGGATGCATTAAATTGATCCTCTCCGTATCGAATTTCTCTCATACGGTGCGTTAACGTCGCGTATCTCTACATTTCCTCTACATATTACGGAGCATTGCGATTTTATTATTTTTATGTGAAATCTACATTAATTTCGTAAAGAATAATTTATCACATTGCGCATGCTGTACACTGTAGAATGGACGATAAGATGTACGAGATTGGTCGTCGAGATTAGTTCTCTCTTTTTCTCTCTCTCTCTCTCTCTCTCTCTCTCTCTCTCTCTCTCGTCTCTCTTGAAACAAAGAGACGACGTTTTGCGAGAATAACAATTGAAACAAACCATAGCCTTAAAACATATTTAAAGATCGAAACCGAGAGAGCAAATATTTCTCGTTTAAAAGATGGACGTACGGTACGACGACGTCGAACCGTTGTCGACGAGAGTCAGCGATTCCGATATAATGACGATGCCAAAGTTATGGCCGAGTAGAGAACAATTACAGACAGTGTTTATTAACGATTACGGCAGAGCTCGAAGAGTCGCCCGAAACAGGTTTGGATGGTTCAAGCTGATTATAGAAAGCCTCTGAAAAACGCGTTCTCTGTGTCTCACAGAGTTTCCCGATCAATTCGATCGTCACGTTTCGACTAAAGGGGAGGTTTTAGGATTTTTCATTTGTCAAATGTACCATCCATAGTTTGTCCGGTTTTGTTGCAGAATTTTTGTGAATCGTAGCCTTCATTTAGAAAATATCAAGTTCTATGGCTTCGACATGGATTACACGCTAGCAGGTAAATCCGGAAGCTCCTTTGTTTCTATATCGGACGAAACGACAATTCGCTGACACACCGTCGTTTCTAACACTTTAGAGTACAAGTCGCCGCAATACGAACAGCTAGGATTCACGTTATTGAAGGATCGTCTTGTTTCACTGGGATACCCACACGAGATCAAAGCCTTCGAATACGATCCAAGTTTCCCCGTGCGAGGATTATGGTTCGACACGCTTTACGGGAACCTGCTCAAAGTAGACGCCTACGGGAACATTCTCGTTTGCGTTCACGGCTTCGAGTTCTTGAAACAGTAAGACGATCGAGTGTACGAAAAGTCTCGTTAAAACAGCCGGTGCAAGCAGACTCTCTTTTTCAGTTCACAAGTATACGAGCTTTATCCGAATAAATTTTTACAATTGGACGAATCCAGGGTATACGTGCTCAACACGCTGTTCAATCTTCCCGAGACGTATTTGTTGGCATGTTTGATAGACTTTTTCACGAATTCGCCGCAATACACGCGCGAGAAGACGGGGGTGAAGGAGGGCGAGCTCACGATGAGCTTCAAGAGCATTTTCCAGGACGTGAGGAACGCTGTGGACTGGATACATCTCCACGGCGATTTGAAGACAAAGACCATCGAAAACCTGGACGAGTACGTGAAGAAAGACAAGAGGCTGCCGATGTTCCTTCACAGAATCAGGGAGAGCGGGGCGAAAGTGTTCCTTTTAACGAACAGCGACTACGTCTTCACCGACAGGATCATGACGTATCTGTTTGACTTTCCGCACGGAGCTAAGGTATACCTTCGTCATTTTTTTTTCTTTTTTTTCCTGTTTTTCGTGAGAACGCGAGGTATTCTACGAAACTGTTCACAGGCCGACGAACCGCATAGAAATTGGAAAACGTATTTCGACACTATCGTAGTGGACGCTAGGAAACCGCTGTTTTTCGGCGAGGGTACGATCTTGCGGCAAGTCAATACCAGAACTGGTGCTTTAAAACTAGGAACACACAAGGGCCCGCTTCATACAGGTGGATTTCTTGTATACTATAATAGGACGATACAGGACTAACAATCACGATGTGAAATTTATACGCGCAGGGGAAGTATACTCGGGTGGTTCGTGCGACGTGTTCACCGAACTGATAGGCGCGAAAGGCAAGGATGTGTTATACGTTGGAGATCACATTTTCGGCGATATCTTAAAGAGTAAGAAGATCAGGGGATGGAGAACGTTCTTGATAGTGCCCGAACTGGTACAGGAGCTACACGTTTGGACGGACAAGTGTCAATTATTCGCAGAGTTACAGAATTTGGACGTTATGCTAGGTGATATGTACAAGTGAGTACGAGACGATCGAACGACTCCCACCAATTCTCACCGACCGTTTTACCTCTGTCCGTCAGAGATTTAGATAGCAGCACAAAAGAGAAACCTGATATTTCGAAGCTACGGGCGTCCATAAGGGACGTAACGCACAAGATGGATTTAGCGTATGGAATGATGGGCTCGTTATTCCGTAGCGGTAGCAGGCAAACGTTTTTCAGTAGCCAAGTAGTCAGGTATGCCGATCTTTACGCGGCAACCTTCTTAAATCTCATTTATTACCCGTTTTCGTACATGTTCCGAGCTCCCGCCATGTTGGTAAGTTCAAAACGAAATTCTTTTGTCTGATCGGGTATGGCTAAGCCGTTTGATGTTTTCAAGATGCCTCACGAGAGCACGGTCGCTCATGAACAGAGGTTCGTTATGGGAACGCCGATGATCAGTCGATCGCGGACTTTTAGGACCGAGGAGGAAGAGGAGCCGAACAAACCGAACGTAAATAACAAATGTTCATTTCACTGAACGTCTAATAACTCCATAGACTCGTATTAATGATATGACGGATTATCAGAAGTCTTTGTACGTGGACTGCTCCAACAATCAAATACCGCACGCGAGGCCCGAGACACCGCGTAACGTGACACACACGCACGACGAGGATTGCAGCGACGAGGACAGCGACTCGCAGAAGCAAGCGAATCACGTAAGGACGTGTACAAGAAATTGCAATTGCAAATGAATCCTCGTTTCTCATTTTTTCGTTTACACCTTTTGTTTTCTTACATTCTTTTGATAGATTACCGATTTTAACAGCCCACTTTATGTCGAAAAGGGATCGAACGCAATCCTGCCGCATTAAAATGTTTTTCTGCTTTAAAATATGTTTGATCAAGTCGTGGAATTTCTAATCTCATTCCTCGTGTGATAAAAGTCGAGTCGCGCCGAGTTGCGTCGGGTCGTCTTCCGTCGTTTCATTTGCGTCCGTTTTACTGCTACGTTTGTCAGAGCTATTACCTTGAAAAATGGTGGGCCTCGTATAGTGAACACGTCGTCGTTGGTGTGTACGTTCGTTTATCGATTTAGCTAGATGCGTTTATTTACATGCGTGTTGAACAGTACGACGAGATACGTGTATACGGAAATGGGTACTCGTGTACAAGTTTTTAAATTATATATAGTAGGTACACAGGTCGAGTCGGAAGCTAATCGAACGAGACGTACGTTCGTGTTAGTAATAACTTTGCTATAAAGAAGAACATACTTTATTATTTCGTAACGACGACGACGACGATGACGAGTTTTAGTTTTTTATCATTTTTCAAACCTGTGTATCTCGCGCAACGACGTTTTTAGAGATATTTAACAATTTGTCTTACGAAGGCGGGATCTTAATGCTGAACTGCGGGATTCTAATTCTGTACTGCGCGTTTCATGAGTTCAGCCTCGTGCAATATAGTTAGGAACTTGTTATTGTACCACGTGTAGTAAAGGTCATGATTATAGAAAACAGTGTAAAAATTCAAGTACTAGGGGCAGTTAATCTTTTTACATAAAGTTCAAGCTTAAAGATTCAGTAAAGAGGGGTAATGTAGTGACGAAGAACGGACTTGTTATTAATTATTTGTTATAAAACGTACTCGTGTCAGATTGTATTCTTAGTTTCTTTTACTGCGTACACGTGAACCTTGTTATCAATTGTAAAAAGTCGGCAAATTGATCAATAAGTCATTTTGTAAGACAATACTTTGATGTTATGCAAATCGAAGGCATCACGAATTAGACATACCTCGATTTTAACAAAGGAAATATTCAACCGATACCTTTGCAACGTATGCGAGGATATTTTATACTAGGTATAAAAATGGAATGTAATCGATATTATTATATTAGGTAAACGTTAGCTGTATCGGCAGTTTGCAGCTAAATTACTTCAGAGTTCACTTATTGTCAATAATGTATATATATATATACATCGCGAAGGTTGTTGAACGCATTCGACTGCAATAAAAATAGATATATACATATATATATATATATATATAGTTATATTTATTTATTATACGATGTACACGTTCTCATATCTTGTACATGTACACACAAATAAATCCGTTGGTGCTAGATTTCTTTGTATGAAAAAAACTTTGAGATTTCGTTGCTAGTAAGACGGGTGATTACTTTGCGTGTAAAAGTTGAGAAAATATATTGTGCAATATAATACGAGTAGAGCGTACCGATCGAAATAAAGATACAACAACTATGATCAGTGTATTTATTTAAACTTGACTAGTCGCTATGTATAAAAATAATAATAGCGGCTATAAATAAGATCTTCCGTGCCGACATCGTTCCCTAAAACAAATCGTGTCTTACATTAATAGATCTGCCAAGTATTCTTCAAACTCTTGTTCCCTCGTTTTCTCCAGACTTTCGACCGGCTTCTCCTTCCAAATCTTCGATTCGTCCTTCTGTGGTTTGTCCGATCTCTCCGCACTAATTCCTCCAGCTTGATCCTCTTCGATTTTAATATGAACCGTGGACGTGGTACTACTACTGTCGGCTCGTTCAACGTTCGTTCCTAATCTTTTTAACGTTTTATGCCTCTTCACTTCTCGCTTCTTGGATCGATAATTCAATTTTACGGAACACTCTGGACACAATCCTCCGGGAACACGACAGTATCGACTAGCACACATGTAGACGAAACGAATTTTTGATAAATAACACAGTTACTCACTCAACTTGACGAGAGCATTTTTCTTATCGCCGTGTTCCACATAGCCAAAGTTCACTTCCCATGACTTGAGTCCTTCCTCCTTCTCCTTGCACCTCTTGTTCCCGCATTCAAACTGCCCTTTGCCCACGATAACTTCTTTCTCAGTTCTCCATCTCAAAGCGATCTATTCAACGTAGTTGATTAGGATTTGACCGAAGGAGAGATCTCGCACCTACCTTATTTTCTTTGTAATACGTCAAGTCAGCTATGCAATACTCCTTGAACAATTTGTCGTAATACTTTTTTGCCAAACGGGCACCCCACGTCTCCGGCTCGTCGTTGTCCTGATCCCACAGAAATCTGTGGTTCTCTTTAATAACGTCATAGTCCGTCTTGTCTCGGGACCTCGAAACACAGGCCGAAACATCAAGAGCTGCTTGTTTCAGAGTTTATAAAATTATCATCTTTCTACCACGCCTTGCAATGTAACAAACCGACTGCGGATTCTAATGAAAAGTGAAACATGGGATAGGAACTTCACTCCCAAGAGCGATAAAGTGCGTTTCACATTTGACTTTCTGTGTGTTCTCGGAAATCAAACGAATTTTACGTTATACGCGCGTCAAATCCGCAGTTCGATAACATTTAAATGAGTTTGATAGAAAAGGGCTTGGTTAAGACATGTCGATAAGAAACGAATGAAAGTTTATTAAAAGATTTAACATACGTGTCCCGTCTCAAAGATGTGCCTCCGTACAATGTAAAATAATCATTGATCAACTTTTTGTGCCTGTCATAAGCTGACAAATACGCGTATGCAGGGAACATGTTTCTACTTTCGATTTTCTTTCGTTGTCTTACGCTGCTTCAATAATTTTTGCCATCCCGACGCGATTTGACGCAAATCTCACTTATTTCAAACGATAATGAGATGATTCAGATTCATGTAGTAGAAGTTTCTCAAACTCACTGACCATGATTTTTCACGGTGATCACAAGTCGTGATTATACTCAATCACGACTGATCACGACCATGATTGCGATTTTCTATAATAAATAACCTTTCTATCATGGACCTATCTGCTAAAATTTCCTGAAATAGCTCATCAGTTTTTAAATATCTGATATGATATTAAAAAAAGTCACTATTTATCTTGGAAAATGGTTAAAAAATGTACAATAAAAATTATATCCAAGTATGTACACATAACCTCTAATGAAAAGTTGAACAGCATGCACGGGCTGGCTTGCATCCCTACCTGTGACGTCACTCGAGCATGCTTTCAGGCGTCTAGTTATAAAAGATCCCACAACATGCCTGCCATGCCATCAGCAATCAGCAGTTAGAGCTGGTTAGGTTAGAGCCGTTAGAGTTCATACAAATGGCTTCGTTGAGAGGCCCACATTGAGGCCATCAGTGAACTGTTGATATCCGTCGCATGCATTTATGTGCTGTGGTCCACGTACGTAATTCGTTGCTAAAGTTAAACAATCCTACAGTGGCTTTTTATAAAGACATTCGTACAAAATGGTAAGTAATTATTAGTTTTCGTCGATGAAATAAGAGTGATAAGGATGTTTCCAACAGTTCCGATGTCTAACTCGACCTTCGAATAGTATCGTCGATCATAAATTTTTTATTAACTCGGACGATCACTTTTCAGATGCAATTCATGTTGTTATTTAGTCGTCAAGGCAAGTTGAGATTACAAAAGTGGTACGTGGCTCATCCGGACAAAGTCAAGAAGAAAATTACCAGAGAACTCATAACGACGATCTTGGCGAGGAAACCAAAAATGTCAAGTTTTCTAGAATGGAAAGATCTGAAAGTTGTTTACAAAAGGTAAAAATTCGATAGTTGAACTTGATCTGTAAACTACCTACCCAATTCTTACTACCGTCATGATGTACCGCTCGAGAACTTTTTGGTCTCATCTTAATGCTCTTTTCAGATATGCTAGTTTATACTTTTGTTGCGCGATAGAGCAAAATGACAACGAGTTATTGACGCTGGAAATAATACACAGATATGTCGAGCTATTGGACAAATACTTTGGGAGTGTAAGTGATGCGTCTCCTTAAACAGTATTCTTCATACAAACTCTTACGATCGTCTCCAACGTACGACCCATGCGTTGAACGCGTTTGCAGGTATGCGAACTGGATATTATATTCAACTTTGAGAAAGCCTATTTCATATTGGACGAATTACTCGTCGGCGGGGAGATCCAAGAGACGAGCAAGAAGAACGTCCTGAAAGCCATAGCTGCCCAGGATTTGTTGCAGGAGGTTAGTTATGGGAACTTGGATATTCGATTGTGACTGTTTTTTAATTAATTAATTAATCAGTAGTTGACCGTTCGAGATCAAGGCCCCTTTATTAATTATTACCTGTGGTATACTATCTTACCTTTCAATGATTATTTATCGTGATGTCCTTCCAATAATTAATTAATTAATTTTCTATTAATTATTTATCGTCGACGAGTCGTTTTCTCACAACCGTGACCGTATACCGTGGACGATGATAAGGAAGATACATAATACCAATCAAAATTCAGATCTTAACTCTATCTCAATTTTACATTTCTCTCAAGAATTATTCTCACATCACGTTTGCGAACTACGTGCTTATTCTCCTCTATTCATAATTCTTCGATTGTCCGTATATAGTTTTCATTCACTTTGAAACAATTTGTCGACGATTGATATTGCACACGTTTCAGATCCTATTTATATACATACATAT